TTTTTTTGTTTTAAATTTCAAATTCATTTCTGTTTTTTCTTAGAGTATGTTTACCTGTATGGATATCCATGGTACTTGGAACGAAACACAGACAGCAACAAGCTGAAGAACAGTACTACAAGGCCAAGCCCGACCATGACTACAACTGAAACACAAGGAAACACACTTTAAGTGGGTAGGCATGAAACGGACAAAAACCGAAGTCATTAACCTAACCATAAGGACTGAACAATTTTTTCGGGAAGAAAGTTCACAATAAAAAAGTTTTTAAGCCATAATTCATCATTTTGAAAGTCTGTATTTAAAATTCTCGGTCCAAACACAGATTTTTATGCGAGTTGATGGCAATTGAATCCTATTAAAGTTTATTTACATTCCAGAATTTCCTGCGTTATCTGTGACCTCAGTGTTAAATAAACAGCATGTTAAATTAATCCATATCTTTTCAAAAATTCAAAAAACTCATTCCGTAATGGGATTAACAATTAACACTGAAATGTATACAGTCTGTGTGTTTTCTTGGCTTGACCACAGTTTTTAATATTTCCAAAATTTTCTATTTCTTTTCTTGTTTTTCAAATAGTTTTCATAATAGGAGAAGCCAAATAATTGTTAACAATAAAAGATGCTTAGTGCCCAAGTTGCAGTACCGCTGTCACAGCAATAAGCAAAATTTCATTTTGACACAATTTTTGTTGCAGTCATCCTTCAACCTTTTTCTGTTTACAAAGGCACGATTTCAAAAAAAGCTTTAACTAGTTATAAAAATAGGCTTCATATTCTAGGAAAACACAAAGTATTGAAAAAACAAAACAAAACAAAACAAACACTGATACATACATCTACGTTTTCCAATTTCCTTGACTTCAAGAGCCTTCTCATTCAAAAGAATCATGCCAGCAACATAAAGAGCATCTTAGACAACAGTCAAGGCATAAATAGTCTATCACACAAATGTTCTTCGGGCTTCGATTTATGATATTGTAGAGACGTTGTTACTTACGTTGTTTTTAAGTTTTCTCTTTTAAAGAATGCTGTACTTAAAAGTTAGGTCTTTTAGATCTTATTATGTATACTTAATATTATGTTTTGTATTATACTAGCTTGTCTAGCTTTTTGAACATGAGGCTGTGGCTTGGAAGATGGGCAATCACCAAAAATCCTACCTCTGCAACATTAAATACATTTGCTTATCTTCATGACATATTCCTACCCATCAACACGTGACAAAGCCCAAAGTATAATTATAATAAAGAAAAAGTTTACTTTGAATAAATTTTAACCAGTAAAAAGTAAAAGGATACTAAGAACAATCACAATGTGTGTTTCAGCAACAAACTGAGCCTGGCTACTTCCATGGATATAACTCTGAAAAAAAAAATAGAGCAAGACGATAAACACACAGATGGTATTGTAAACATCACATAATTGTTAAGAAATGCTAAATATTTCATAAAGTAACATATGGAAAAATTATGGTTGGGATTTTTGTTTTTACTTCCATTGTAAAAAAGAGGTACATTTGTACCCCTAGAGGCAAAGAGAATAAGGTCTTCACCCATGATAACAAATGAATAAATAAAAGTAACTGTAAAACAATAAAACTGTTATGAGTCAGACTGGCAAATACATTTCCCACTTCAAGGTACATGTACAACAATTAAACAATAAAAATGCTATTAATACAGAGAGAAGAAAAATACCATGAAAATATACGGGGAAAATTATATGTACATAAAAAATTAAAGAGCTGCACAGCTATAACAGTTAGGGTGCAAATAGGACCCATAAATAAATAGTGCATACACCACCTCAAGTAAGAAAGAGTTAAAACAATCTAAAATCTGTAGTTCTCAAGAGGATAAACTGCAATTAAGGTTAACTTCTCCGAACTTATTGCTACTTCCTGCATGATGAGCTTTCACTAATCAGTTTTTAATCTAGAGTGAAACATAGTCTGCTACATAGCCGTTTTAGTGTCGTCACGCAACGCTCCTCCCCACCAACGGCTGCTGAAAATCAAACCACATTCCTTTCCTGTGATTAGCCAATCAGAATTCAGCTCCCATTTTCTGGAAGGTGTTCACGCCACATTTGCAGTATGGTGACTCCTCCAATCACAGCTTTGCTTTTATCGTTGCCCCATGTGTGAATAACAGAACATTCAAAATCCTTGCATGAAAACAAGCAATCAACTAGAGTAGTGTTGTCGTAGTCCAGTCCTCCAAAAATTTTTGAGATAAGCAGCAACAGCAAGCAGGTTGAGCAAATATGACGCACAACATGGATGTGCTTATAAAGTTGCTGGGTATAGTTTCAGGAAATCGCTTATCGATAATTTATAAGATTGCTTTTGTTTGAGTCAGTACCTCTGAGAGTTTAGTCTTCACAGTCTTCACATGGGTGTACAACAACACAATGAGCACATCCGGCACATGAAATTCATCATACATATGCACGTTAAAAAGAACCAACCGAACCTGGTAAGAGTCTTGTGGGCCTATCAAACCCTTTTTTTCCCTTGGAATTTTGTTAACCGCTTAAAACAAACATTTCTGCAAACAACCTTTTTGTTGCTTGCAGACACAGAGCTCATCAAAACTCAGGGATGATTTATTGATTTGTCGAAAACTGGGAAGCGTGTTCGCTCCTAGCACCCTGCGGCTCACGTATTGTCAAGTTTCTTTTACATGAATGGTTTGTTTGTTAGACCACAAACACAAAGGGAAAGGAATGTGGTTCGATGTTCAGCAGCCGTTAGTGGGGAGGAGCGTTGCGTGACGACACTAAAAACGGCTGTGTAGCAGACTAGAGTGAAACATGGAGTGGAGAGTGTGTGTAAGGGGCGGGTGGGGGGGTGGGGGGGACGGGTAAAGGCATGTTTTGAGTGATTATGTGCCACTAGGCCCATCCTTCAATAGAAATAGGCCAATTTTTTCACAGCTTATCTTTTTGGGATACAAGTATTTCACAAACACCACATGGCCCTGGCCCAAGCTGTCTAAAGGTACCACAAACTACTGTAGTTACATGCATGACAACTTGTATGCTGCTGCTGCAATTCCTGTTACCCAGGGCTCTAATTTGTCAGTGATACCAGGGGTCAAAACAGTTATTAAGTCACTCATTTCTTACTAACCACTTGTCCAGTTTGTGGATTTCGATGAGCGTAAGGAGGCCCTCGGATGTGATTCCACATCTGCCCAGAAGTCATGGCAAAAACTATAAACTGAAAAGATAATAATAAATACACTTAATGCGCTTTTCAAAAGCACACGAACTCCGAAGATCAAAAGCAAACTGATGTTTGCGTTTTTTGCTGCTATCATTCATCTTAGTGCATCTCTTAGAAAACAGAACTTTACTTAAACAGGTTCAAAAGGGCATGGTTTGTGATCTGTGATTGGTGGATTTCGATCAGTTTTTTGTGTTTCTGTGTTTCAAGATCCGTTGCTTGTGATCATAATTATGATTGAAAGCAGCAAAAAACGCAATTGTGAAGGCGGCTTTTAAACTTTAGAGTTCGTGTGTTTTTGAAAAGCGCAGTAATGCCCAGTCAGGAAGGAAACAATTTTGTTTTCCCAAGAGTTTTTACACGTATGGCTTGATCTCTCCAGAGGGAAAGCTCAGGGAAACGTCATGGGAAACGTCAACGTCAGGGAAAGAATCATTTTGTTATTTATTACAGCAACAAAGACAACTCTAACTTCCCCAATCTACCACAGAGGGACAAACAAATCAACCATAATATTAACATCTCATTCAATTTTATAGACTATATGGTGCTTTTTGTATTTGTCAGTTTGGACCAGCATTTCTCAGCTGAAGGATTGCTTCGAATAGTTGACAGCATTTCAATGGGGCAAACAAAATTACCTCTCATCCCTCTTCTAATCTTATGGACCTGCACCCAAAATTTCTGCCAATTTTGTGATCACTAGAATGAATTTATCAAGACCATAACGGCATGGGAGGAGTACACAGGATACAACTGATCAAATGCTACCCACAGGTCAATGTGGTTGATTACCCCCTTGAAACAGCCAATGGGATTCAGCAATGACTGATCAACAGACAAAAAAGGTTAAAGCTATGACAAAATAGGATGTACCACCATGGAATTTGTCAAAGTTGATTTTCGGAGGAAAAAGTTTCAATATAAAAATATCTATCTTTAGTTAAATATATTGGAATTAAACGCCATTGTAGTACTGTAAGGTTAAAAATATGTGATAAATATGTGTGCGGACCAACAGTTATCAAAACACAGCATTATTGTAACAGTACCAGTCTAAGAGTTTACGCATACCAAGCATCCAATGGCCCAGTAGGTCTTATTATAGAGGAATTCTAAGTTTTTACGTCGCACGTAAAGCAGTCCACCAATCAGCACAACCAGCAATCCCATTATCACTGCACCCATGTAGTTAGGGGGACGGAATACTCTCACCTAAAATTTGAAGCAAATTTGGGTTCAGTCGTTACACATAACTAGGAAATATTAATTACAAGAATAAAAATTACACTAGCTAGATGGCTATGAAAAAAAAAATCAGACTTCTTTCATGTCAAGAGCAGGAGTGTCATGCACTGAGACTTATAGTTAATTTTATACATTACAGGTCAAAATTATATTCACTCAGGTTAAAAATTTTTAACCTAGATTGATTCTCTAGCCCTATTATTATTCAGAGAATCAACCTATGTTGAAAAATTTTAATCTGAATTTAATTTTAACCTGCCATATAATATGCTACGTCATTGTTTTGGTGCTATTTTCCCTTACTTGGCTATGAAAGAAGCCGGGGGTCTGAAGTGATCACAGTGACAATAGATGCCAACAGGGAAATCCCATATCTTTGTATGATATTATACATGAAGTTACATTTTAAGTCCTGACAACGAAGAAATGTCTTGTGTAAGAAATTAAAGTTTTAGTCAAAATTTTTTTGCAATAGACTTTGATAAGATGACACTTAAATAAATGTAATACAAATTTTCACAGCTTTCACATTTAGAACTTATCAAATAAAACAAGCATTTCAAAAACAAATCACCTACAAAAAATAACATAAAAACTACCTACATGAACATCAGTGCGCTCTGCAACCCATTTCGCCAGCTGTTCAGCAGAGAATCCCATTCTACAAAGAAAACAAGAACATGCGATATGCAGCATTCTCTATGTATTTCACTTTAAAAGATTATGTTTTTTCAGTAAATGTGTACCTTTGAATATCATAGGTGTCCGCCTTTTTGGGTTTTCCTTTGGGTGGGAAGTGCATAAACATGGGAGCAGAGTTCAACCGTAGCTAGAAAAAAAAAGTAACAGAACTTGCAGTTTCAGTTTCCATTTAATCAGCACATCTAAGGCTGACATTCAATGAACTTGTGACAGAAGAAACATTTCAGCAGATACACATGAGGAGCATAAAGAACCTACACTCCCAAATTAAAATGTACAAAAATGTGCCATCAGGAAGTCAAATTTATGCAAAAAAACATTTATTTAAAACGTCTTACCGCATTAAATACATCTGGGCCCTCATCGAAGTCAACCATTGCAAAGAACACTTTGTTGGAATACTGCTGAGAATATCGCCAGGAATTAGCAAGGATTGTATACTCATTGTTAGCTTCTCTGCAAAGAAGACAACAGATTGTGAATTGTTATTTGTGAATCATAGTTATTTATGTTATCAGAAAACTAGCTACCTGACAAGACAAGAAAAATTTGGGTCCTTTTCCCAGGAAGCTTTATATAAGCTGACACAAAAAGGAGATAGGTAAGGATAACTTTGGAATATAATTTAGAGGCATAGTCAACTGAAGGTTCGTTTAGTGTATTATCTATTTAACAGTGAAATCTCTTTAATTTGTGAAAGACTAAGAATTGCCATGATATCCAAGTTGGATTTTCATATTTTGACAACTTCAAACACAACCCAAATACAAACACAACTGCTTATGCGGGTGTCAATTTTTGAATGGAAGGGGGGCGGGGAGGGGCGGTGTTGGTGGGTCACAGGCATAGGGGTAGCATTTGAATTTTTTAGCAATTTTTTTTTCAATTTCCTGATCCTTGGGACTGGAAATTAGTTCAAATCTGATAGAATCCCTTTTCATGGGGAACAAAACCACAGTTTGGGCAAAAATTTGTGGTCAAAATCCCCAGCGAGGGAACAAAGCAAGTGTTCAAATATCACACCCACACATATGCCCATATCCCCTTTCCCCGTCTAAATGTTGATATCTGCATTACAAACACCAAATAAAGCAAGCAAAAAAGCACTTAAAGTGGATTTAAAAGCTCAAAAAAGGTGTGCAATCATTTTTCAATTTCATCAGAATTAACAGTAATGTGATGGTGGTAATAGAGGTCTATGATACTGATGATATGTATGTACATGTGTATGATGTTGACTTTATCAATAAAATATTTCATTGTCATTTGAAAGCAAGTGCAGAGAGTGAAAGAATCCCACAATGACTTGAGCCTCTAAGAGCACATTAAAATATCTCTTACCTACAGATGGTACATTGCCTGTGTGGTGCTAGAGCTGTGAGCATAAGAATCACTGAATAATTCCTTGGTGATGCCCTCAGATAAGTTCTGTACTTATCCCCATTCAACCTTATAACAGGTTTTCTTTGATTCCAGTCCATGAGTTGTTTCACACGACTGTCCAACAGTGACTGGAAAATCAAATTATGTGATTTTAACATTAGGTTTTACTTACCAGGGGCACCCAACAACTGTTTTCTTTAAAAAAATCCGTTCGGAGAAGCAAATATTGCCTACAATTTTTATTATCACTTGAGGACAACTTAAAATTTCTAGATAACCGTTCCATTCAAGTACAATTTTCGAAGCTTATCTAATAAATTCCCAAGATTTTAAGGAGTTTAAGTTTCACGAAACACTTTCAAAGTTAGGCTATTTTTGTAGAAAAAAGGAAACCTAAAATTTTTGGATTCAAAAATATGATGGAGAGAAGTTCAGAAAATGTCTTATTTCTAAACATGTCAAATTGCATCTAAAATTTTAAAGAAAATAATAATCAAGCCCTTATACAGGGCTTCTGATAGGGTGCGGCAAAAAATGGGAAATTATGCGGCAAGAAAGGTCTATTATGCGGCAAATTATGCGATTTTTTTTCAAGCTGATTTAACATTGTTTTTTTAGGTCTCAGAGGAGGAAACCCATTTTTTTGCTGTCCAATGGGCAATTAGGCATAAAAAAAACAATAAAAGCATCCAAATTAAATCAATTGTTGCCTCATTTTAATTATTTTGATCTGAAATGGCTCATTTAGTCAATTAAGTGTCACTTGATTCCTCCTTTAATTAAACAATGATACAAATTTCAGTTTTACATGCTAGATAGGCTGTTAATTAAGGTATGTCCATATGCTGTTTCAGATGTCAGGCCTCGACAGACCGTACAACCTATCAGAACAAAAATAACTTGAACAAAGTAGAAACATTTCTGTGGGTTATACAAACTTGATACACTTGATTCAAATGAGAAGCTATAAATCACTCAATGACATCCCCACAATACA